GGGGGGCCGTAATCAGTGTGCTACCCTTAAAGATGCATATAAAGTCATCTTTTTGCGTCAAAATACCAGCCAACCAAAAGCCAACCAAATACCAGCATATAGTTTCAAGTTATAGGCCCTATAACTAAGTGATTAACCAAAAGCGTTGTTTATTTTTACCCGAAAATGATATTCTGAACGGATTTTTCAGTAGCATTCTAGCTATGCTGTATATCAATGGGGCAGAAAAGTTGGTCATGAAATTAGGTTAAAATTCTGACCAAAATTTTAAATAAAGGAGCACTCTAAAGATCTTTTATGGCTAATCGAGTGATTTATTCAGTTTATCCCTTGGCATGTCGAATGTATTTGATTAGTGGAAGTGGTTCATATGCGTTACTGATGCTCGGTTCATACGTACCCTTAAGCTCTTTTATACATTATCTTACTTTTTGCTCAACCTATAAAATGACACCTGATGTCAAAGAAAATAAGGGGCGTTGTCTCAGTGCGTACAACATAGACCACCTCACCTTTATTAACAGTTGCCGTGACAACACGATTCGTAGTGGAGAGCAGGCCAGACGCAGATGTCCAGATAAAAGTGAACACCATTAGAACTTCTGAAATATTAGCTTTTATAGTCTGACTTTAGCATGTATAGTTCGTAATACGTGGACTGACAGAAAACGAAGTCAGTTAGATACGGTTCCTGAAGACGGCTTCACATTTCATACTCTGATCATGACAGGTGCGAGGAACCGGTTCGTTAAGTTAGTCTGAATATTCAGGTGGGATATAGGTATTTATAAACGTGTGCATTTGAGAAATCGAACGGGGTAACGCCTCTCTCTCTCTCTCTCTCTCTCTCTCTCTCTCTCTCTCTCTCTCTCCAGTCTTTTTTTTTTAGTCACTCTGGTAGTCGAGGCACCGGCTGATAAGTAGTCCAATCGTAACTGTGAACGTTAAGAGAATAAGAACTTGAAAACGTGCAGATTGTATTTTTGGAAGTGATACTGGTATTAACATAGGTGTGTAATTAAGGAAACGTTGCTAAAATTCCGAGGCCTTTTTCTATATAATTCCCAGGATTATTATATTGCTTAAATTCCGAGGCCTTTTTCTATATAATTCCCAGGATTATTATATTATTGTTTCTGTTGTTGTTATTTTTGTTGTTGTTGTTTCTGTTATTATTATTATTAGGCCTATTATTATTATTATTATTATTATGTCATAAACAATCTCACACACATTATATGCATTTTTCACTTCAATACGATAACTTACGTTATTTTTCTTTCTAGCCACGAAGACAACCCTGAGGCATAACACCCCATTGCTCTACAATGTCCCTTCCCTGTGTGTATGGACTGGCTGTCATATTTAGTCTCGTGGGGGGCTGTCTTGGATATAGTAGTGGAGCGCCATCTTTAGCCTGTACGTCCATGTATCCCCAGCACGGCCCGAGTCCCCAGGCAACAACGTCACCGTATTCCATATCAGCGTCCGTAGCCACCTATGATACTGACGACACTATAACAGGTGAAGATACGCCAACTTTATCTGTCCTTCCTTCCTTCCATTTATGCGTCCATTCATCCGTCCATCTGTCTATCTATCTGCCTATCTATTCATTACTTTTATTAATGTGCATCCCTAGCTTATGCGACAAAGTGTTTTAAGATGATTTTTTTCTAATTTATAGTTTTCTATAGACAAGTAGTTGATGATTTTTGTCATGCCAGCTGCAGCATCATGAAGTAGTGTCAAGGGGAATTTTGTTTCAAAATAGTGCATTATTTTTGAAGAAATTCCCCCACCAAAAGGACATCTAACGTGAAATGTGACTAAGCTGTTGCATTAATAAATATATATTCAAGAATCTATAAGATAAATAAAAAAGAAAACTTTTACTAAGCAAACGCACACTTCTAGTGACGGTGACAGGAACGTTCAAGGGAATTTTTCTCCAAGCCCGGAGAGCGGGAACCACCACCATAGTGGGTTCCTGGGGGACCCCTCCCCCGGGCACCAGACACCTCACCTGTCAGAACATCGGCCAGAGCGCCATTACCCACTCCAGCAGTACGGACAAGACTGACCTCAGCTTCCAGTGGACGGCGCCCAGTGACGGAGTCGGCGACATAGAGTTTGTGTAAGTAAGGCGGATCCAGCCCCCCCCAGCGTCACATTTTGAAAGGGGTCAAAGGCAAACAATGTATTCATCCCCGTGCCTTCATATTACAGCCGAATATATCTAGTCGAATATATTGTGTATGTATTTCATAGTGACGCCCTTTATCCGTGATCCGCTTAAACAAAATATTTATTTCTTTATTTTGGAAGAAAGTATTTGCAATTACTATGGCCTAAAATACATGCACCTATACCTAAGGTACTATGGTGCTAGAATATCTACGAATTCAAATTGTGTTAACACAGATAGGCCTATTGCTGTCCAGACGCTATTCTTATGATTAAATTAGTAACCCTGCGTGACATTTTGGTGGTTTGATAGCAGTTTTAAGTGAATCCATTGCTAGGAATTTTCTTGTTTTTTTCACACTTGAGCATGCCACGCGCAAGGCATTACACTCTGCTTGGCCATTATGTCATATGATTTTTGTTCCTTTCTTTCATTCCCATATCCTTATTATGTAAAACATTGGACTTGCATTTCTGAGAAACCTTGCCAGTAGGTTGTAGCATGGCCAGTTGTGTTTTGTATAATTGAAAATTTGTCTTATTCTTCCTTAGAAACTACATTTTTAGCACTGCGTATTACGTCTAATATATTTTCAAAAACAGTTTGTATTATTACAAAGGGCAATTTATTTATTTATTTATTGGTTAACGAAAATTACATCAAAGTGATTGCTGTACTTGTCGTGCTGTTGGCAGTGCAAACGTGTGTGTGTGTGTGTGTGTATGTGTATTTATGTGCTACAACTGGCGGCATCTATCGGCAGCAGAGTATTTTGGGGGGGTAGGAGGTGGGGGGTAGACGGGCAGAAGTGTCGTCAGCGTCAATGTAATTCTTTGTGTCTATTTTCAGAGCCACGATTGTGCAAGTAAAGGCCGTGTTTTGGACCGGAGTGAAGAGTTCGTCTCTATCGCAACTGACGACCACAACCACCACAACTACCACAACTACCACCACCGTCACACCCAGCCCACAGACAGCTACCACAGCGCCATCTACAGTGTCAACCTCCACAGTCAACACAACGTCGCTTACACCATCAACAACCGCTGCGACGCCAACGACAACCGTTGCCAGCACTGTCACCAGTAGCGCGTCTGCAACTACGACTCTTGCAGGGGGTCGAAATTCTGCTGCCTCTGTGGTTAAAATGTTTCGGTTATGTTCCTGGCTTTTCGTTTCAGTGGTGGCAGTTTTCTTTGAAATTGTCAAGTGGTTAGACTGATATACAAGGAAAGAAGTAATTGGAGTGATGGGATGAAGTTATCTTAAATATGAAGAACTCACGCACACCATTAATATCATCTTAATAAGCGCTGCACCATATACTTTGCACTCAGAAACATATTTATTTTATTTTATATATCATCTCGTTGTTTTATTAACGCTGCATCCGAAGTCATTAAATCTTACATAAGGCACCAGGCGGTCTAACACGCGGTCGGAGAATGACTGCACTGGAGGTATGAAATGTCATAACATCATTTGCGAGGAAGCTTTAATTAACGACTTAGACACGTAATAATTGCCATTTGTAATCGTGTCTGATATACCAGTTTTACGCAGGTGCAGGGAAGGGCAAAAAGGGTGGTTGCCATCCTGTGGTAATTAATGTAATTACAGCATTGTTACTGTTCTTGCTCACGGAGAAGTTCTGATCGGGATAAGGAAAGGGCAACTTTGGTTTTTGCGATTATTATTATACGATTATTGCTGTTTTTATCCTACCTCAGTAATTTTTCTATCTGTTATAAAATGTCAGCACTGTGCCTACTTTTGTCAATTTAAAGTTTCTGACATGTTGCACAGTGTCTTCTTTGTTTGGATATGTCGTCAGAATTAGAGGTCAAAACAAGACAAATCTTTTAGTTTAGAAAGTTGTATAAAGCTAGTATAGAAGAACACAGCCAAATCATTAGTTAATCAATAAAGTCGTCTTTTGATTGTAGCTATAGCCGTGTTTCACGGATTGCGAGCAATCCCATGGAAACATGACTTGGAAACCCTCCAAGTCCAGTTCTGCCATTTTAATCAAAAGAATCCCGATCATGGCGGCTCTGTCTTGTGATGTGGAAAACATTTAGGTTTATGACAGGTCTCGTTGTCCTTAGATTACATCAATGTTTTTTTTTTATACATCAACACCAGGAAGTGAAATCAAGAGCTACTATGAAGTATATTTCTATTCAGCCGTCATATCACATGTACATGTTGAACGTGATGATACAGAAATAAATTGTTTATGATGTAATATTCAAAGTGTGCAAAATAAGTGCTTTGCATTAATCGGGGTAAAGAAGAGATAGCTGAGTGAAGCAAAAAAATGAAAGAAACGTATATTGACGGCAATTTTTATAGAGCGTTGAAGTAGATAAATGCAGCTGAGTACAAGTCTAGCTCATTGTTGGCAAGTCTCTAATGCTACGGCACTTTCAATGTAAAACAAATACTATACTAAACCATTGCATAAATCTATAACTAAAAGGTGCAATGAATAACGTATTACTTATAACCGTTGATCAATTGTTGATGCAACGAGATCCAAAAAAACATTGATCTTAAAATTGCTGAACGCGTTGCTAGATATGGAAAGCATACATTGTGCGCCGGATTTCAAAAGTTCACGCCGCCAATGTCATCACTGAAAATCTTGTCCATGATGTGTATGTCGACTGGTAGCTAGCTGTCTTTGTAGCCAACACATATCTGCTATTGTTACTGTGCACTTAACTATACCAACTTACATATATGTCATTGGTACCCTTATATTTGACGTTTATGAAAATCATACCTCTGAAATGGCTTTGTCCACACTTCCTGAATTCAAAGTCAATGAAAACGCAACTTTCGACTTTGATGTAAGCGCGACTGGTGCAGCGTGTTTTGGTTCATTTTCGCAGCCCGTGCTACTAGTTTCATTTCTGCCCGGCTCGTTGTCCAGTCGGCGCATAGGTTGAGGTGCAACAGCGTTCACTTTGCGTTTCAAGCGCAGAATTTTCTGAAACTCTCCACGAAAGTCCTCCAAACGACACGCATATATTAGCGGGTTCAGGGCACTGTTGAGAACTGACAGCACTGTAGTGTACATTCGTATGGTCATCCACGTTTTGGAGAATATTTGGTCCGTGTATACTTGGATTCCCGTAACGGCGAAGAAAGGTACCATGCAGAATAAAAACATTCCCAAAACGATCGCAGCTGTTTTTGAAATCTTCATGTTTTTTCGGTGAATTTGCCGCGGGTTATTTTTCAGTCGAGAATTACTTACTACCGACAGGTGCTCCGAGAGAGAAGCTATTGCCGCTGCGTGCCTTCGAGCCAAGTGGAAAACTCTTGAATATAACGCTATAATGGCTAGCGATAGTGCGCTGAACACGGGCAGTACAATATATTTGATAAAGTCAGGGTTTAGAACGTACAAGAAGTCACATACCTTCTTCCCCGGGTCTCCCGGTCGTATGTCATCCAACCCCAAAAAGTGGACTGAAACGATCACAAACGCAGAAGGAACCCAAACGAATACAGCGCCGAGTACTTGAATTTTGGCCGTCAATACACTCTTGTATTGATATGGGTAGATAACTGACACGTATCTGTCCACGCTTATAGCCAGAAGACAAAGTACCGAACCGTTTATCGAGCTCATGGGAAAACTATATCGGAAAAGACACACGTGGAGATCTTGGACAACATCGTCTCGGATAAACATGGCAATTTGTAGAGGCATCGCCAGGGCGACCAGCAAATCAGCGCCGGCCAACTGAACTACAAACCAGTTCGTCGTAGTTTGCAATTTTTCGTTGCGAAAATATGCAGTTATGACCAAAATGTTTCCAAACCCGATCAGTATTGTCAGGACCGCCTGTATTGTAATCATCGATACCTCGTAGCCCAATTCCATGGTGTCTCGTTGCTCTTAGAGATACGCTAGTTTTGATATTTTTCAACAAGAATATCAAGTTCCGAAAACAGTTTTAAGCTTTGCATGTTACATGTTGGCATTTCTCTTCTCAAACCATTACTATAATGTGGTCAAATTTTCGCTGCTGCCTGCTATGTTGACTCATGTCATGCCACGAATATAATAAGCCTCTCAGCTCAGTTCAAAGGCTTTTCTGTCAAAGATCGTGAACTATTTCTCGCAGCGCCCCTTATGTCCGTTTAAGTGTCGTCTGAGCGGACTTCGCAGACTAGATGATTACTCGTGCTTTTAGCCTCTTCCACGGCGTTTGTTTTGGTCTGACGTGATCAACTTGTCTTTTAAGCGATGTCAAGGAGATTTTGTGCATGGACAGAACAAGTCTGCTTGCGTGATTTTACATTCACTGTTTCCACGAACCTGTACCGTGATAATGAAGTACAGCAATTGTCTAGTTTGCTTTTCCTGTTTTGGCGCAGTCAAATCCTCATGTCAAAATAATCAGTCTCACTGACGTCCTCAACACCTTGATGCCATTTGCGATGTTTTTTGTCTACTTAAAGACATTGATATATGTTATCTGGCGTGTTTCTTACCTTTGCTTTCTAGTTTTGTCGAAGTACAATGAATTTCATCCACATTCCATCAGCAAAATATATAGCACTACAAATTTGTTATCAGAAATCGGTAACAAAGAAAGGTGCGAGGCATTCGTAGGCGTTGGTGCAGTAAATAAAATTGTATTAGCCGAGGACGTAGCACGTCTACATATATACTAGGACGTGTTAGAAGAATAATGATCTCAAAATGAACTCTATTTCTAACACTTGGTCAATTGCTGTAATTACAGCATCTTCAATCTTGCCGACGAGCTTTGGTCGTGATAATGACGATAAACTGCATAATTCAATATACAGAAATGTATTTATACTTGAAAATTGTATCGTTCAAAATTAGCAATTTCAGTTGTTTCATATTTTTAGCGTCATTATCTCAAGCATCCAATTCTCTCAAAGAACTTTGTTATAATGCTTGCGGCACTGCATGGAAACACTAGCAACTACCGTGTTCATCAGTTTTGCCGGCATTTGGTTGCAAACACAA